GGACCGAGCTAGACCGAAATCAGTCCAGTTCAATTATACATGGATTAGGCTTAGCACAACCCATATCATTTTATTAAATCCAAGCCAAAAACACAACCCAATTCCCTTTTAAAATAAATCATGCATCAAAACCCTAATTTTTTCCCTTTCTCTCCATCTCCAGCCGTTCTCTCTCTTTTTCTTTCTCTTTCCTTTTTCTTCTTCTTCTTCTTCTTCTTCCTCATCTCTTGAATCTCTCTCACCATGGATGAACCAACAATGGTTCATCCATCTTTCTCTTCCTCCCCCTTTTCTCTTTTTTTTTCTTTCTTTCTTTCTTCTTCTTCCTCTTTGTCAAATCCTCTTTCTCTCTTCGTTTTTTTTTTATTCTTGCTTTCTCACTTCTCCCAAACCTACCATGGACGAACCAAAATTGGTTTGTCCATGCTCTCTCTCTTCTTTCCTTTTTTTCTCTTCTCTTCCTTGTTTAATAAAAAATCCCTATATCAATTTTTTAAAATTCTTACCCAATTTTGGTCGAACCCTAAGTTTTCGATTCTTCAAAATTTTCTTTTGATTGGTCCTAATTTCTATTTCCTAACCCAATTTCATTTCAATTTCAAAAACTCCACAAATTCCAAAATAAAACCTAAATTGACGGTGTTTTTTTTTTTTTTTAAATCCTTTCCTCTAACTAACTCCTTTGTTTGTGTTTATTTTTTTTTATTTATACATATAATTGTGTCGGTTCTTCACCATGATGATGTGAGATTTTTTCTTGCGAGTAAATTCACTCTTTCTTTCTTTTGTTTATCATGTAAGGGTTTGCTTTTCCCAATTTCCATTACCTTATATCGGTCATTTTGTTTTTCCTCTTGATTTTCTCTTTTTTCATCCTATTTGGTTGGGCTTTTGTTAGTTATAGAAGAAGCAAAAGAAAAGAAAAGCAAGAGGAGAGGGCACTCGTTGTAGGAATAGAGTTGTCCAGAGTGCTGATGAACGAGTAAAAAACCCACATCTTTTAGAGTCATTTTGTTTTCCCTCTTGATTTTCTCTTCTTTTTTTTTTTTTTCTTCTTGTTTGGTTGGGCTTTTGTTGGTTATAGAAGAAACAAAAGAAAAGAAAAGCAAGAGGAGAGGGGCACTCGTTGTAGGAACAACGTTGTCCATAGTGTCGATCAACGATAAAAAAAACCCACGTCTCTTAGAGTCTTTTATAATATAGATACAATTAATTAAAAATCTTATTATAATTAATTAAAAAATTATGCATTAATCAATATAAAAAGAGGATGACTCTAATACCACATGTAAAATAAATTAAATATATTCAAATGTATAATCACTATGAAAATTGAAATGATATATACCTTCCGACATGATTAAGTAAGCATCAAAGCCACTGTCTTATAAAAAATAATATCATTAAGGAGAAAAAATCTTATAGTTTGGTTTAATAACAAATTTTGTTTTCATTCTATTGTGATTTAACAATTTCGGACCCATAGTATCAAATTATGTAATTTGATTTCTAAAGTATTGGAGATTAGGAAAATATGATCTAAATTGCTCAATTTCTGTTATGTGTTACCAACGATTGGATTTATCGTTATTTGGAATGACAAAACAATGTCGTTTTAGCATTTCGCCGTTAATTATGTTTTTTTTAAAAATATTTTTAACCGCTTTGACCTTGAACTTTTTTTCTTATAAAATATTATATTTTATAAATTATATAAAACACATTTTATAAATATTTTTAACCCTCTAATTTTGAACTTTTAAAAAAATCAATAAAATGTTATTGTAAAAAAAAATATAATTAACAAAATACAATTTCAGACCTTTAAAAAATATATTTTATAAATTGAAATGAGCATAATTAATGGTTGACCCTCTTAATTTTATAAATTATAAAAAATATTTTTTTATAAAATATTATAATATTTTATGAAAAAAGTTTTAAAAAGTTCAAATTAGGGGGAGTAAAAATATTTATAATTTTTTTATATAGAATTCATAATATTTTATAAGAAAAAAAATTTAAGATTAGGAGTTTAAAAATATTTTAATTTTTTTAAAAAATAATTAACGAGTGGAATGTCTAACAATGTCATTTGGACATTCCAAGTAACTGATCGATTGGATTGATCGTTACACGTAACAAAGATTGAGCAATTTAGATTACATTTGTCCAATTTCCAATACTTTAGGATTTAAATTACGCGATTTAGTACTATAGGTTCGAAATTACTAAATCGTAATAGAATGAGGATAAAATTTACCATTAAAACCTTATGGTTTATGTCAATACTTTAGATTTTATATGTGTTGATGGAAAACACAAGCTTATAGTAATATTTATATATATAGACTAGATTTTTTTTTCTTTAACCTAATTTTACATTTACATTCATTATAGATGTGCCTAGCTTACAACTCTAGATTTTTAATTGTTCTTTATATATTTTAAACAAAAAAGGATACGTAAATTACACTAAAACATATTTCTTACATATATAAAAATCTTAAAAGAGAATGCTTGTAGACACACCAATCCTATCAATAAAGTTCTTATTTCAATTTTTTTACATTATACAACGAATGGAGATCTTTTATTCATTTGTATGGATTTTGCAAGTTATCAATGTTTTTTTTATTTTTTATTTATTTTGATAATCATTAACTTAATTTGATAGTTAATATTATATATTTTTCATTCATTCGTTCCCTATTTTAAGATTTGAGTGAAAATAATAGCACATACATAGAGGAGACAGAGAATCTACAAACAAATTAATCAAATTACAATAAAGAAATAGACGAAGTAAATATTAAAAACATTACTCACTCACGCTTCTACAAGACAATCGAGTGAAAACTGATCGAGCACATAACAAATAATGACTAATGACATGTCTTTGGAATAATTTAATTAATAGTATATACTGTCTAACAATAAACTTTTGTACCCCGCCACTTTCATTCCCATATTTTATGAATTATTCAATTCTGTAAAATTAACAATTTAAATTGATGGAATTTGTAAGAAGATTATGCATTTGAGGTCCAGAAACAAATGTGAAGATATGTTTTTTCATTATGCATGCAATTTGCAATTGATGAAGCAATTTGTAAGTAGTCAAAAATATTAGTCGTGTGAAATTTCTTATTCCTTACTTTGAATTCTGAACACAAAGTAACCACATACATGTGAATTGGCTGTGAAGATTTGTGTTGACAAATTCAAAGCATAGCTACTGGATAGCTACAACAAATTTGCATAACTAGTGAAAACCCAAAATAGAAGAGTAGGATAGCAGAATGCAGTATCATAAAATAAGCTATCACCAACATATATAATATAGGGATAAAGAGGTTGATTTAATTTGGATAAAATTAAAATTTAATTTTTATTATTGACTGATAACTAGTCATAATTATTCTTTATATTTATTAAATTTAAACTATTTGATTTAAAAAAAAAGTCCAATGGTCAACTAAATGCTAGATATGTTCCTAACGTTGGTTTAATTAAAAGATTATTGAATTTAGTTTCGGTTAATATATACTCTAACAAGATAAATAAATATTTTTTTATTAGGCATAAAATTTATTACAATTAACAAAATTAATAAGAATATGAATACCAAAAGAAAAAAAAATTAGTGAAAGCATATATTTATTTATTTGTTTGTTGTCTTTTTAAAATTTATTGTTCATGCGAGAAATTGCAGTCGCAAAAGTTGTTTATTAGGTGATTCTTTATACACACTGAAACACATGCCAAAACAATGTTTTCCAAGACAAATTATGTTTGTTATGATCAACTTTACTTTTTGTTTTATATGTATAAAGAAGAAGAAGAAACTTCAGCATTCATATATATATATGTGAGTATATAATGCTAGGATTTTTTTATTTTTACTAATGAAAGGTTATATTGCTATCTCTAGCATTAGTCATTTTTTATTCTTGCTAAATCATTGGGATGATATGGTTATATATCATCAAGGAAAGGTCTTTAAAAGAAAGAAAAAAAAAATTGCCATTCACGTAGAGCTATTACGCCATTTCGTAAGAGCTTTAGTAAAACAATTGTAGAAAAACAATTTAGCAAATAAAATCATGTTTATTAAAATGACAATTATTTTGCTAGAAATTCATCATTATTATTATTATTTTAATTTTTAGAAAACTGAAAACACTAAAAAGTCACGTTGCCTATCAACAACTGTGGAAGAAAAAAAAAACAGGACTTGTCTCTCTTTAGATAAACTGCTATTCTTAATTTTTCATACATAAATATTTGGAAATAAACAAAGACCAAAAAAAAAAAGAAAGAAAAATGGATAAACGTTTGCTAAAAAATGAAAGTTTTAATGCAAATTCAATAATGAAGTCACGATGACTTCAAGTTGAAGTTGTTGTAGAGAATGCCCAAACCTTAACATCTGACAAATTGAATGTTGAAACTTTCAGTCTAACAAAATTCTGGTTGGAAATGAGCCAAGAAAAAGGAAAAAGTTTAATGGCTGTTGGAGAATAAAGATGGGTTTATGCATATGAAACCTTATACAATTTGATTCTTGTTTTTATTGAAATCCTAAATTTTTTTTCTATTAAATTTAACAATTCTATTTTTATATTTTTGTTATTTTATATTCTAATATGTCAAGTAAACACATATGGTAAGTTCTAGTCAATAACAACTTATCACGTATCATAGTTAATTCAAGTTAGAGTGTTAACAAAAAATAAAAAGTTTTCTGGTAAATTTTAAATAATTAAACAAATAATAAACTTAAAAATAAGTTAGAAAAATACAATTTAACCCCTGGTCACTAAAACTAATCATTCATTTCACTTTTTTTTTATCCCTCTTTCCTCCTTTCATCTGTAATCAAAACTTACAATCCTTAATTCCTAAATTTCAAACCCTAATACCCACTGCCTAATTCCCAAATTATAAACAGTAATTCTCATTTCTCCCTTAACCTTTCCTCATTCCCAAATTTCTCCCTATTTTCTGTGGAGCTGGAACTCTTTGAGGTTAATGCCGTCTATTAGAACTTCGTCGGCCTGTGGGTCGTAAAACCTCTCAATCAAACCAATAACTGTAGATTTCCCACTTCTACTCTCTCCAACCAAAGCTGCAGTGGCACCGTTAGGTATTGTGAGAGAGAAGCCATTGAATATTTGCTCATCAAGTCTTGCAGGATAGCTGAAATGAATATCCTTCAGTTCTATATCTCCCTGAATATCCTCTTGCATCCGTCCATTGGTTTTGTAAGAATCTATTTGTGATTTCCTATGATCAATTACCTCGAACATCTTAAACGCTGCAGCTGGTCCAGAAGCAAATGCACTTAAGCAAGAAGATGACTGTCCTAGAGACCTGACAAACAAATACATCAAAATGATCCTAGAAAATAAAGTTAAATACGTTTTTAACATAACTCATCAGAGATTAATCTTTCAGAAAACGCAAAAGAAGCAGACTGCAACTTACATGGAGCCAGTCAACAATGCAAAGTTTACATTCACCCTCCACTATATCCTTCATTCAGAATCATTTTAGCACCAAACCATGCAGCCAAAGCGTAAGTCGAGAATACAATAAGTGCAAACACACCATAACCGACTCTTATAACCAAGCCCTCTTGCACTCCATTTTTGACAGCTTCGGTCAAAGACTTGTTGCATTGATCCACAACCTGAATTGGAAATGACCATCACAATCATGATTCTGAAATGAAGGATAATAATAATAATAATAATAATAATAATCAACGTCTTGCCCAATTGTGCATATCGTTCTGATGGAACCAATTGTCTGGTCCACGAGATTTGCTGCATGTGAATAAGCGGTTTGCCCACGGGATGCCATCTTTGATACAATGAAGGCCATGACAGCAGCAGAGAGGACGAGAAGGGGAATGGAAAATACCATGACAAGAGCAAGTTTCTATCCCTTAATAAATGCTACAATAAAACCTGCGGCGAATGTTGTAACTAGCTGCAAGAACTTCCCCACCTGCAAAAAAATTAACAAGGAAGATGATGTATCAAATTCCATAAACTAACGTATTTTCTAAGAAAATCACATACAATCTAAGACTTGCGAGAATTAATGTATGTCTATACCTTCTCACCCATGGCATCTTGAATTAGAATAGTGTCACCCGACATCCTCCCAATAATTTCTCTAGTGCTGGTTTCTTTATCGAAGAAGCCAATTTCTTGCCTGAGAATGGCTTCTAAGTACAAATTTCTTATTCGTGCAGCCTGTCTCTCCCCAGTGACCATCCAGCAAGACACCTCTGGTACATATCAAACTCACGTGTTTCAGTTCTCAATTTAGCTCTACGCCTCTATCTAACAGCTCTTTAAGGATTAAGCTGGGTGTAATATATTAATATGGACTTATGAAGGAATGCTGCAATCATGGCACCCAGACTCAAGTACATATACTTCAGAGGTACCTGTGGATATGGCAGATCTGGATGAGTAATAATAAATGGCATAATACATATGACAGGATAAATAGCAATCATTTTCCTTGAGAAGATTAGGTAAAATTTGGGTAGGGTAATTGCAGATCGCAGTATTAGCAAGACCAAGTTCCTTGAGAATCCAACCAAACCAAATCATAACTAGTGGTTAATAAATTAATATACTGAACACACTTTTCTACTCTGAGATCCAATGAAAGAATACTCACTCTCAGGTTGCACAATGGAAGTTTGGAAGTAATTAAGCTCAAGTTAAGTAATTTAAATAAATACTGCAATTACATATGTATCAGACTTCGATTCATGATCAAAATGGATGAGTTGAGTTGTTAGCAAAATAATATTGTTGCATTGCAATACCTTGGAAACTTATTTGGGAATTAGGGATTGGGTATCAGGTTTGAAAATTGGATTTTAGGTATTATAAGTTTCGATTGCAGATTGAAGAGAAAGGAAAGAGGAAAAAAAACTGAAATGAACAAGAGAGAAAAGAAGATTTTTAGTTCAAGTGGGTAATAGTTGAATTGTATTTTCCTATCATATTTTTAGGTTGATTATTTGCTTAGTTATTTAAACTTCATCAGAAATTTTTTTTATTTTCATTAAAACTCAATTTGAGCTCATTATGAAACGTAACAAGTCGTCATTGACTAGAATTTGTTATATATGTTTACGTAACGCATTAGGGTTTGAAACAATAACAATATAAGAATAAAACTCTTAAATTTAATTAAAAAAAAAAACTTAAGATCTCAATAAAAATATTTGAATTATATAGTTTTGATATGCTTAAAACCCGAATAACGATAGTTCGGAATCGATAGATAAAATATATAATTTGAAGTTAATTGTTAGTGATGTTAATAAATAAAGAGAATAGAGAGATTTGGTGTTAATAAATAAAAAGAACCGAGAGAGTTGAGAATTGATAGGCTAAAATGAATGTGCTAACTATGAGGTAAAAAATGATTAAAAAAAAAGTTGATAAGTAAATGACATGATAAAAATATTTTATTTTTATCAATAAGTTTAAAACTATTTTATTCTAACAAATAAGAAGTAAAAGTCTTTTAAAGTGGAAAAGAACACATTCTAACAAATGAGAAGTAAAACTACTTTAAAGTGGAAAAGAAAACCGAGGAAACAAGCGTCACAGCACATCTGACAATAATTATCCGACGGCACGTTGTAAAACTTGAAGGATGATGGTATGTGGAAACCTGTTTGCTCCCAAAGAATACAAAATACTGCCCGCCCATCTTATGGGCTGCTCGAGCCTCCTGAACCCACAGGTAAATTTAGACACTATGATACTCTAATGGTCCATTAATTACTGTCTTTAGCGTTTTTTTTTTTTTTTTCTCTCTCTCTTGAAAATTAGTCTTCAATGGAATTCATCTCTAATGGCAAGAAAATTACTGTATATTATGTAACATTATGTGATGTTCATGTTTAGCAGCTCTAGGCTATTAAATTTAAATTGAACTAAACTACTCTAGTGGATGATAAACATGGCAGCAATTCTTTACTTATCATTATTTATTTTTCTTATATAATCAAATCATTGAATTCATTGCTAGGAAGATGAGAGGATTTAAATTCCCCCAAAAGCAAGGACGTTAGAATTGAGGATGCAAGATTATGCTAGAACAGTTTTCAAGACAAGGTCCATTAATTCAAATATTTAATTTAATGTAGTTGACAATTCAACGCAAGATGGACCACATGGCACAAAAAAATTGATAGTGAAGCTGGGTTACCTTGGAGACAAAGACAGGAATTTTTTTTTTTTTTCTTTCAGTAATCCGCATCTTTAATCAGACGGTGTCCAGCAGGGTAAAAAATCATATTTACTTTACCATATGCATTACAGAGGTCACAAATTTAAAGATAAGTGATGACTCAAAATTCAAAACGGACGGGAGTTGGTGCGCTTTTTATCACATAAGGAATGATACATATTTCTTGGTCATTACACTAATTGATACCGCCGTAGTTGCACTTGCTGAAGAAGTAAACAACTTGATATTTCTTTTCCTCGTCAATGGAGTTATTAAGGGTGTGTTTGTTTGATGAAAAATAACTTTCAAGAATTTTTTTTTTTTTTTTTTGAAAAAGCTATTTTCAAGAAGTTGTTTTTCAAAAAAATATTTTTTTGCGTTTGAAAATTACATGAAAAAAATCCTAAAAAAAAATATTTCAGCATATGTTTGATATAGAAAAAAATGAAATACAAAAATAGGTTGTAATTGTTATATCAACGAATTTTAAGAAAAGTTCAACAAGACATATTCACAATTTCACAATATAAAAATTGTTAAACAATCTCACATCCTTAATATTGCATCTACAAAATGCTATCAAAACAGAGCATATGAGTTATTGATATGTTAGCATACTAAAACAGAAAGCATAAGTTATAATTAACTATTTAGAAAATAATAATACATCCAACATCTATAATAATAACTACAAAGATTCAACATCCGTAAAACATTAAAACTGTCTCCAAAATTCATACTCCTATGAATCCAAGTACATAATAACAAAGCCACACATAATAATAATAGACCCAACCATTGTTAGCACCTCATGTAGATGATCCATCATGTTCATTGATGAACTTTTCAATTCAAAGCTTCCTATATTTTGTCATAAAAGCCTTTGCCAACCTTTCATTTTACATTAAGTAATCAAAGACATTATTCAAGATGTCATCATCAAAATCAATAATCTTCATCACCACATCATAAATCTCATCTATATCAACTTCATTTTTGGTTAAATAATGAATTGCTTTGGCCATTTGTTTCACTTCCATAGCTAAAATAGATGTAATTCATTTTTCAATTTTACGACTTCTTTTTCGATGACTTCTCTTTTCATAAAGCATACTAGTTGATGATGCTTCTTTTCCTTTGCCAATCTAAATTTCATCTAATGTTGTAGATTCAATGTTAGAGCTCTCGACCAAGTTAATATCATTAAAGGGCTTGGTAAAACTTTCTATGGCCATATCTTATCCAACAACAAGCATCATCTCATTGTATATCTCAATTTTCTTGTTTAAGTATTTCTCATGGTTAGGACGTGCCTATATATTAAAAAAAAAATTAGAAAACACCTTATAAATCCAAAGAAAACAAGTTGAGACATTGAAAAAAGATTTTATATTACAGTTATTTCTTCATCACAAACTTGTTTTGAGATATCATTTTCAACTACCATTCCATCCAAAACTACTTTTCTCTTGCAATTGTGTGATAATCTTTCATTCTTTTTTTATTGTCCTCAAATGATTTTTAGCATGATCGGGACAACAATCAAATCCAAATTTCAAATTGATTTCTCTTGTTACATGTGCAAAGTTGTCTTGTTTGAAAGTGGAAGAATGTTTATTCCTTTTCACAACCTCCTCGCCTAAAATCTCAAGCAACATATCGAACATAGGTTTTGTCCACTTAAATTATTTGGCTTTAGCTTTTTCTTGCTTAATGTTGCTCATTTCTACAACCATTGCCAATAAATAGAATTTCAAAAAGTAAAAATAAGAGAAATAGTTAAATAACATCATCACTCATTCAATAAACTCCAAAAGGAAAAATTAGAAAAAACAATAGAAATTGCTAAAATTACAACAAAAACATAAGCCAAAAAAAATATCCTAAAAATGTGTAAATCCGCCTCCCAATCTTAGTTGAGGTAATCGTAGCTAAAATATTTCAAAGTGATGAAAAAAAAAAACTACACTAAAATTTATAAACCAGATGACGACCAAATAAAAATGGAACTCTAATTTATCCCATAAGCCATAAAATCAGGAAAGAAGTAAAACATAAGTAAATACATTGATGATGCTTTGAAATCACAGGTCACTTTATATAACATAGTCATTCCACATATCCGATGCCATGACATCTCTTTTCGCTATCCATTCCCTATTCCCCTCCCTTTCCTCTCTTATGCTTAAATGAGTTCTATCCATAATCATGGATTGGCTTGATGTGATAATTTCTTCTATAACATAATCATCGAGGATCAACTCCTACCGTATGATTATGAAGGATACAATTTACAAGCACAATATCCACTTGAGTTTTGTAGGACCAAAATGGTCGAGTATATACACTGAAATCTTTTCTTTAGTATACCAAAACCATGTTTAATTATTGTTCACAATGAAGAATGACGAAGATTAAATAACTTTGCATTCTTAGGTGGATGCTCAATAAACTTAGTTAGATGGTATCGAACACCACGATATGGAGTTATCACTCTATTTAGGGTTTTGTAACCAGCATCACTACGATAATATTTACATACAAAATTTATGAAATATACCACCAATAAATATTTGTATACATGTATAGCTATATGTGTAGACAATGTATGTTAAAGATTTCATTTAATACTTTCTAGAATCTTAAATCCTCCCGATCGTGATAGTGCATCATTTAAGACACGAGAATCATGTGCACTTCCTTCCTAACCAACTAAAATATAAGTAAATTTTAATTCAAAATTGATGGCCGCCAACACATTCCGTGTTGTTCCATCCTTTTTGCCATGAAACTTTCCTTCCAGTTCCATAGGTACACTTGCTTGGAATATAAGTACCATCAAGTGCCCTAATGCAATCCTAAATAAAAAATTAATATTTATAAAAATTTAATTTTTAATGAAACTACTTAAATTAAGAATTTTTTTTTTTATACAAAGAAAAGAGATAACTAACCTTAAAATATAGAAAAAAAATCTTTTATTGTTGGAAATTACTTTGGGTATTGAGTTAACTAGGTCTTGAATGAGATAAGGGTACAATTTTAGAATTGTCGTCAACACAATTCTAAAATATCTATGCACCATTTCAACAAATCTATAAAATTTTTCACTAATAAATCAAAATCTTGCATTGTGTCCAATTATTTGCAAGAGCACCATCAATTGTTCTCTAACGGTAACATTTTTTGTTGATTGAAAAAGGTTGGTTGTGTTCAAAACCTCACACAATTTGTCAAATGACTCTTGTGACATACAAATTTGTGTAATATAATGCCAATCACCTCGGTTAAGTATATTGTTTATATAAAACTATCTCATATAACTTCCATCAATTCGAGGTTGTCTTTGTATGCTAGTCCTATTTTCATACTCATCAACTATATGACATACGGTGATTGCAATGGAAGCACCCGTCATGCCTATGAGACGAATGAATTTTCTATCCATCTACATACAAATTTTAAATTGAACTAAACTACTCTAGTGGATGATAAACATGGCAGCAATTCTTTACTTATCATTATTTATTTTTCTTATATAATCAAATCATTGAATTCATTGCTAGGAAGATGAGAGGATTTAAATTCCCCCAAAAGCATGGACGTTAGAATTGAGGATGCAAGATTATGCTAGAACAGTTTTCAAGACAAGGTCCATTAATTCAAATATTTAATTTAATGTAGTTGACAATTCAACGCAATATGGACCATATGGCACAAAAAAAATTGATAGTGAAGCTGGGTTACCTTGGAGACAAAGACAGGAATTTTTTTTTTTTTTCTTTCAGTAATCCGCATCTTTAATCAGACGGTGTCCAGCAGAGTAAAAAATCATATTTACTTTACCATATGCATTACAGAGATCACAAATTTAAAGATAAGTGATGACTCAAAATTCAAAACGGACAGGAGTTGGTGCGCTTTTTATCACATAAGGAATGATACATATTTCTTGGTCATTACACTAATTGATACCGCCGTAGTTGCACCTGCTGAAGAAGTAAACAACTTGATATTTCTTTTCCTCATCAATGGAGTTATTAAGGTTGTGTTTCTTTGATGAAAAATAACTTTCAAGAAATTTTTTTTTTCAAAAAAGCTATTTTCAAGAAGTTGTTTTCAAAAAAATATTTTTTGACGTTTGAAAATTACATGAAAAAAAAATCCTAAAAAAAAATATTTCAGCATATGTTTGATACAGAAAAAAATGAAATACAAAAATAGGTTGTAATTGTTATATCAATGAATTTTGAGAAAAATTCAACAAGGCATATTCACAATGTAAAAATTTTTAAACAATCTCACATCCTTAATATTGCATCTACAAAATGCTATCAAAACAGAACATATGAGTTATTGATATGTTAGCGTACCAAAACAAAAAGCATCAGTTATAATTAACTATTTAGAAAACAATAATACATCCAACATCTATAATAATAGTTACAAAGATAGCTACAAAGATTCAACATCCAGAAAACATTAAAATCTGTCTCCAAAATTCATACTCCTATGAATCCAAGTACATAATAGCAAAGCCACACATAATAATAATAGACCCAAACATTGTTAGCACCTCATGTAGATGATCCATCATGTTCATTGATGAACTTTTCAATTCAAAGCTTCCTATATTTTGTCATAAAAGCCTTTGCCAACCTTTCATTTTACATTAAGTAATCAAAGACATTATTCAAGATGTCATCATCAAAATCAATAATCTTCATCACCACATCATAAATCTCATCTATATCAACTTCATTTTTGGTTAAATAATGAATTGCTTTGGTCATTTGTTTCACTTCCATAGCTAAAATAGATGTAATTCATTTTTTAATTTTACGACCTCTTTTTCGATGACTTCTCTTTTAAAGCATACTAGTTGATGATGCTTCTTTTCCTTTGCCGCCTAAATTTCATCTAGTGTTGTAGATTCAATGTTAGAGCTCTCAGCCAAGTTAATATCATTAAAGGGCTTGGTAAAACTTTCTATGGCCATATCTTATCCAACAACAAGCATCATCTCATTGTACATCTCAATTTTCTTGTTTAAGTATTTCTCATGGTTAGGACGTGCCTATATATTAAAAAAAAAAAAATTAGAAAACACCTTATAAATCCAAGAAAAAAACAAGTTGAGACATTGAAAAAAGATTTTATATTACAGCTTATCTCTTCATCACAAACTTGTTTTGAGATATCATTTTCAACTACCATTCCATCCAAAACTACTTTTTCTCTTGCAATTGTGTGATAATCTTTCATTCTTTTTTTATTGTCCTCAAATGATTTTTAGCATGATCGAGACAACAATCTAATCCAAATTTCAAATTGATTTCTCTTGTTACATGTGCAAATTGTCTTGTTTGAAAGTGGAAGAATGTTTATTCCTTTTCACAACCTCCTCACCTAAAATCTCAAGCAACATATCGAACATAGGTTTTGTCCACTTAAATTATTCGGCTTTAGCTTTCTCTTGCTTAATGTTGCTCATTTTTGCAAGCATTGCCAATAAATAGAATTTCAAAAAGTAAAAACAAGAGAAATAGTTAAATAACATCATCACTCATTCAATAAACTCCAAAAGGAAAAATTAGAAAAAACAATAGAAATTGCTAAAATTACAACAAAAACATAAGCCAAAAAAAAAAAAAAATCTTAGTCGAGGTAATCGTAGCTAAAAATTTCAAAGTGATTGAAAAAAAAAAACTACACTAAAATTTATAAACCAAGGTGACAACCAAATAAAAATGGAACTCTAATTTATCCCATAAGCCATAAATTCAGTAAAGAAGTAAAACATAAGTAAATACATTGATGATGCTTTGAAATCATAGGTCACTTTGTATAACATAGTCATTCCACATATCCGATGCCATTACATCTCTTTTCGTTATCCATTCCCTATTCCCTTCCCTTTCCTCTCTTATGCTTAAATGAGTTCTATCCATAATCATGGATTGGCTTGATGTGATAATTTCTTCTATAACGTAATCATGAGGATTAACTCCTACCGTATGATTATGAAGGATACAATTTACAAGCACAATATCCACTTGAGTTTTGTAGGACCAAAATGGTCGAGTATATACACCGAAATCTTTTCTTTAGTATACCAAAACCATGTTTAATTATTGTTCACAATGAAGAATGACGAAGATTAAATAACTTTGCATTCTTAGGTGGATGCTCAATAAACTTATTTAGATGGTATCGAACACCACGATATGGAGTTATCACTCTATTTAGGGTTTTGTAACCAAGCATCACTAAGATAATATTTACATACAAAATTTATGAAATATACCACCAATAAATATTTGTATACATGTATAGCTATATGTGTAGACAATGTATGTTAAAGATTTCATTTAATACTTTCTAGAATCTTAAATCCTCTTGATCATGATAGTGCATCATTTAAGACACGAGAATCATGTGCACTTCCTTCTTAACCAACTAAAATATAAGTAAATTTTAATTCAAAATTGATGGTCGCCAACACATTCTATGCTGTTCCATCCTTTCGCCATGAAACTTTTTTTCCAGCTTCCATAGGTACACTTGCTCGGAATATAGGTACCATCAAGTGCCCTAATGCAATCCTAAATAAAAAATTAATATTTATGAAAATCTAATTTTTAATGAAACTACTTAAATTAAGAATTTTTTTTTTTTTTTACAAAGAAAAGAGATAACTAACCTTAAAATATGGAGAAAATCTTTTATTGTTGGAAATTACTTTGGGTATTGAGTTAACTAGGTCTTGAATGAGATAAGAGTACAATTTTAGAATTATCATCAACACAATTCTAAAATATCTATGCACTATTTCAACAGATCTATAAAATTTTTCACTAATAAATCAAAATCTTGCATTGTGTCCAATTATTTGCAAGAGCACCACCACTTGTTCTCTAATGGTAACATTTTTTGTTGATTGAAAAAGGTTAGTTATGTTCAAAACTTCACACAATTTGTCAAATGACTTTTGTGACATACAAATTTGTGTAATATAATGCCAATCACCTCGGTTAAGTATATTGTTTATATAAAACTATCTCATATAACTTCCATCAATTCGAGGTTGTCTTAGTATGCTAGTCCTATTTTTCATACTAATCAACTATATGACATACGGTGATTGCAATGGAAGCACCCGTCATGCCTATGAGACGAATCAATTTTCTATCCATCTACATACAAATTTTAAATATATTGAATATCAAATATATAATCTATCAAATAAACACACAAAATATTTAACTTAAACAATTAATTAAATTTCATAAATGATTCATGCTAATAATTAAAATACGATAAGATAATGACAAAACAATAAATAAATGATAAATGAACTTTTGAAGTTATGAAACTTGTTCTATATAACAAGAACAAATACATGAACTAAACATAAAAGTCTCAAATTAAAATGAAACTAAACAAAATGCTAACTAATTAAGCTCCATAAATAAGTAACAAGAATAATTACCAATAAGGTAGAATATTGAACAAATACTAAATAAATAGTAAAAAGACTTTAAAATTATGAAATTTAAAACACAAGCTAAAGATAAATATGTGTAACACATATAAAAAAATTTAGGTCAAAATGATTAGGATAGCTTGGTTAAAATGGGTGTGAATTGATATGAAGCAGGAAATATTGATTGTATTGTCGTACCTTTACCGGTATTACAACTTATATATATATATAGCTACATATAGCATCTAAACTAAGAAATTACAAACTAGGAAATTAAAGCTATAAATCTTTCTAAACTCCTTGATTAGAGCCTTAAATTCCTATATTTACATCCTAAAATACACCCAAAATATTCTAAATAGAATATTTCCTATTCCAACACTCCCCTTCAAGTTGGCTTGTAAATGTCTTCCATTGCTAGCTTGCTTACCGGAAAATCAAATTGTTTTTTCAGTAGACCTTTGGTGAGTATATTAGCCACTTGTTGAGAAGTAGGAATATAAGGAACGTAAATTAGCCCATTTTCAAGTTTCTCCTTGATAAAGTGCTTATCAACTTCAATATGTTTAGTCCGATTGTGAAGAACCAAATTATGAGCAATTGAAATGACAGACTTTGTTATCACAATAATTTTTCATAGGAAGTGATGCATGAAGTTTCAAATCTTCAAGCAATTTCTTAATCCACATAGCTTCACAAATCCCTTACGCAAGGGATCTAAATTTCGCTTCAACGCTACTTCGTGCCATAACATTTTGCTTCTTACTTCTCTAAGTAACTAAATTTCCTCCAACAAATGTATAATATCCAAATGTTGATTGCCTGTCCGTCACACTACCACCTCAATCAGCATCAGTATAGACTTCCACCCGAAAGTGATCACATTTTTTAAATATCAAACCCTTTCCTAGAGTCCCTTTTAGGTACTTTAGTATCTTATATGTAGCTTCAAAATGCTCACGACTCGGTGCATGCATGAATTGGCTTATCATGCTTATCGCAATTGCTATATCGAGGCGAGCGTACGACGTATATATAAGTCCGCCCATCAAGCGGTGAAATTTCTCCTTTTCAATCACATCCTCAATTTTAGCGAGGATTTAGTTTGAGATTTACCTCAATCGGAGTCTCAACAACCTTGCAACCTAGAAGACCAATTTCATTCGGTAAATTAAGGACATATTTCCTTTGATTTACAAAGATTCCTTCATGTGATCTTGCAAATTCCATGCCAAGAAAGTATTTCAATGTTCCTAGGTCTTTAATCTCAAAGTCTTTAGCTAGTCTCTTTTTCAATCTTACTAATTCATCAAGATCATCACCCATTAGTATCATGTCATCAACATATACAATGAGGATTTCCATCTTACCTTTATCGAGTGTGTTTATAAAAAAGAGTATGATCTCGCCTGACTTTGATGATACCCATATCCATTTAAAGTCTTTCCTAACCGTTCAAACCATACCCTTGAGACCTGTTTGAGGCCATACAATGACTTCTTAAGTTTACAAACGTTTTTTTAACCAACAAACTCTTCAAAACTAGAAGGTGGACTCATAAAGACTTCCTCTTTCAAATCACCATTCAGGAAAACATTCTTCACATCTAGTTGGTATAAGACCTAATTGAAATTAACTGCAAGAGATAATAAAATACGTATAAAGTTAATTTTAGCTATTGGGGCAAAGGTTTCATGATAATCAACACCATATGTTTGACTAAATCCCTTAGCCATAAGTCTAGCCTTGTATCTCTCTACACTACCATCCGCCTTGCATTTCACAGTAAAAACCCATTTACACCTAACTATTTTCTTATCTCCGGGTAGCTCTACAATTTCCCATGTTCCACTTTTCTTTAGTGCATTTATTTCCTCCATCACAAATTGTTCTCCAATTTGAATCATCAAGTGCTTCCCGGATGTTTCTTGGAACAAACAAGTTAGAGTTTTTTAAAGTAAATGCCCTATGGTTTTGAGAGAGACGATCATAAGACGGATATTTTGCAATTAGGTAATTAGTGCAAGAACAAGTTCCTTTTCTAAGTGCAATAGGAACATCGGGATCACAATATTCATGAGAAACAACATTAGGTAAAACAAGAGGTGAAACAACATTAGGTCAAACGGGAGGTGAAATAGGAGGATTTAGTATTTTGAGAAGTGTTTTAAGTACCTAAATCCGAGGTAATGGATTGACTAAGTGCTAAAGGAACGATAAGTTCTTTACCCTTTTGATGTTTCTTTCTCCTTGCATAAACAATGACCTCATGTTTTTGATCCTTAGGATTATTTTATAGTATTTCTCTCCCTGTCAAAGACTCAACAATGTCCGGAAAAACAATATTCTTATCAGTAGAAATTGCTTTGTCATTTTCGAAAACACTAGGTGTAAAGGCAACTATTTGAGGTAAAGTAGTAAAAATAGGTATGTTGTCTCAACTATTTTCTTCCTCTAAACTCTCCCTCGAAGAAAATTCTTTTAAAAATAAGGCTGATTTTCAAGAAATAAAACATCCATAGCAATTAGGACTTTTCGAGTCTTTAGATGAAAACACTTATACCTTTTTTGATTTAACGCATAGCCAATCAAAACATATTTTTCAACCTTTGGATTAAGCTTAGACCGATCCTTATTAGGCAAATGAACATGAGTCGTGCACCCAAATATTTTAAGAGGTAAACTAGATGAAATTCGATTTTCGGGAAAGAAATTTTTAAAGCACTCAAGAGGAGTAATGAATTTAAGTACATGAGTAAGCATTCTGTTTATCAAATAT